TAGTTTCATCCGTCTCCATGATGACATCCCTCACCTTGTCAACAAAGTCCATAGTGTTCTGTATGTGATGTTCTGAGCTGCCAAATAAAGGACCAAGTATAGACGTCAGATATTTAGAAAGATTGTAAGTGACAGAGTTGATCATGCTGACAATGGGTCTTACCGGTACATCCAGTTTGTGAATTTTGGGTAAACCATACAGACTAGGAGTGGCCTCACCTGGGTAAAGTCTATGATACAGAATCCGAATAATAGCCTTGTCCTGCTCTAAACTTTTCAGGCAATCTATTAGTTTCTTCTTGTAACCACTTCCTGGATCTCTCTTCAGCATTGGCAGCATGTATCATAGACTTTACCCACTTAAGACTTAAATATAGTTTGTCAGCTCGTAGCTCCTGGAGTGGTGAAACTAACCAAACAAGCCGCCCCTAAATTATCTGGTGAATTAATTATCTGCTGTGCGCAACATTCGCTTGCTCTTTGGTAAATAAAGCAAAGCCATTTTCCTTATTTTATCTTTATTTCATCGGCCAAAGACAGACTGACAAAAAAAAAAAAAATACAAAAAACAAGATGCTCCTCCCTCTTCAGATGCGCGTCTAGTCTCTGTCCGGTCTGAACATACTGCGTCCAGCTTAAGGCATTGGGCGCATTTGTGCTGCTCAAAACGCATTTGGTGTGAACGTAGCATAAGACTGCTAATTTATTTAAGTTAAACATTTTATGAAGAAGATTTATTACAGTTACTTAACACAATTGTAAAATGGCTCAAAATAAAGAAGTTTTGATTACAGAAGGTGTATTACTTGAAGGGTCAGTATTTTTTAAGTGAAAAGTGTGTAAAAATAGACGAAGCACCATACCATCAAGAGAATGTCAGACTTTGGGAGGATATGGGAGGTTAATTTAGCAAAACTGACAATACTGCTATTAGTGGCCAGGGGTTTGTTTACTTGTTCCACACACAAATTTTGCAGAAAATATGTAGATTTTTTTTCATTCAAACAAACGACACACAAAATGTAACTCTCCTTGAAAAATCAGGTAAGTAATTATAAAGTTTGTTTGAAGAAAAGGAAGGCTGTACCGTTATTTTACACAAGGTACAGAATATCTTTAGCTTTTCACACAGAACAGAGTAAGCGATATTAGAATTAAACATGAATGTAATAGAGTTAAAATTAAAAAGCGTACTTCTGTAGAATTAATTAACAGATTTCTCTCTCTCTCTCTCTCTCTCTCTCTCTCTCTCTCTCTCTCT